CTACGTGTAAAGGTATCTCAAGTCATAAGATTCCTAAGCTTTCTAATTATGTAACATTTTCCAACCCGGACAAGGTCAACCATATTTGTCGTCTTCCATTATTTTAGTCAAAAGATTACAAAAATAAAAAGGAAATTAAGAAACTAAACTAGGTGATATCATTGAGATTATTTGACTCAATGCATGTCTAATATGTTTCTATATTATAGAATTGGATATGAATGTTTAACTGTGTATAACCAAAGATGCTGCAGATTCTTTGATACACACACGTATAATTATACTATATCAACGTAACACTTCGGTGTGACGAAGATAAACACTTTTGGATTTTGGTGGGGTGGGTGGATTAATATAACAATACGAAACTTCCCTAAAAGCTGCAGTTACTGACAACATATGAGTCAAAAATTTCATATCGTGTAGAGCGCCAATTCATGAGTATGAATGCCACGAAATAGTTGAGGGTTTTCAACTTTAATCTACCGTTTAATAATCGATTTAAACACTAAAATCATGCTTTACAACAACAACAACAACTGGGTAGAATATTTTACGTATCCTATTTTAACAAGGATTTTGTTTTCCGAGAGATGATATTGGTGAAAGAAAGAAATCGAGATTTTTGGCACTATAGCAGTTGGAAGTACATTAATACTGGTGTAGTGGTGTTCATTTACTGGAATCATACATATACACTATCATTTTATTTATAAAATTTTGCACAATATCGATGCAACCAACATATATTTTGATAGTTGTGCCATTTTTTTCGTGTAACGCCATTTGAGTTTGAATACAATTCTACATGTTACTGGGGAAAAAAATAAAATATATATTAAATCTAACAAGAGTATTAAATGCTAATCAGAATTGTTTAAGTGGTCTGTAAACCAAAAATGATTCCGTTCTCGACGTTATGGCGTGGTGAGGCTGTGAGCGGGCGTGTGAGGTTTAAAACTGAATAAAAAATCAGAAGCGTCTCCCTCACCATAGGTTCATAGTCTTCTAGATTCTTAATTAGTGTCACATAAATTTTGATGCAAAAATGTTAATGGGTCGGGTTTAATTTTTGAATTTGGGCCTAACTAATATTAGATGGGAATAAATGAATGACTAACGTATGTGTCAGAAAACTTGTAATTATCAATTGATAGTTAGGACTTAGGACACATAATGAATGTTTTTCCGTTACATATCACCTTACGTTTGGACACCTCCTCTTAACTCTAGTCGTCTTTGCTGCAAAAAAAAAAAAGAGAAGTAATTACTAATTACTAATTATTCTCGTTCAGTATTAAAAAGTTACGTAGACAAAATCTTCGGTTAAAACAATAATCGAATTCAAAGAGGAAACAATAATGACTAAGATTAAACAATTAATCGAACATAGTATAAATGTTTTGGCGGTGGAGGATAAAGAATAAAGCAAACCAAATAGTTAGTAATCGAATTCAAAGAGGAAACAAAGCTAAAAGAAGGACATGTCCACGTGTAAAAGACTAAACCATGCTGCCCATAAATCCAAATATTTCTTCTACCTATGGAATTTGATCTGCACCAATCTGAATCCGTTACATGGTTCCGACTTTCATTCACCTTTAGATATATAGTAATTATCTAAACATTTGTCTATTGATCAAGGCAGCAAAGACGACGACTAGGTGGAGTAAGAAAATCACTTGTATATATAAATAAAAATTTGAATTTGAATCACTTGTAAGAAAATCACTTGAATTTGATAGGGAAAATTTGTCTATTCAAACATTCGTATTTCTGCATGTGATTTCTATACCAATGCCATGCAACATGCTTGCATCTTATCTCTCTTTTTTTTTCTTCTTTGGTTTCTTTATGTTGACAAACAAAGAAATATCTTTCTTTTTTTGTCTTTTTCAAATATGGTATCGTTAGATGATTTCATATGAACAAGATGTTTCTTTTTCTTTTATGCTTTTCCAGTTAGAAAAGATGAAAGAAAGGTCAGCAGTCAAGATCAAATTCTTCTATCCCTAAAGATTTTCAGATTCTTCCGGATAGTCAATGAGTTGTCATTAATTTATTTATCAAGTTATAATTAACCCAACTTGGACAATAAATATATACGGCATGTTTATATCATTTGATCCGCTAAGGTTCATCGAATACTGTCATGTTCCCACTCGCGCAACTATCCATTGAATAATTACTCGTAGTAGGGACCGTACTTAGGGTTATCATATACTTCCTCTGTTCCTAATTGTTTGATGTTTTGGAGTTTTCACACATATTAAAAATTCAAAATCATTGTTTAATCATTTCAACATTATTTTTAATTTTAAATATTTTTAATATTTATCAACCAATAGTAGTCTAAGAAAGTTAATGATTTATAATCATTGTATCTTGAAGTTTACAATTTACTATTATAAGTCAATAAAAATAAAATAAAATACTAGAAAATCAATTTTTGTGGAACAAACAACCAAAGCTATAACATCAATTTTTTAAGAACAGAGGGAGTATACTCTTCATAGAAGAGGAATGATGTTACTAAAATATCAAACTCAAGACATTGGACACAACAGTTTCTAATTTCGATTCAAACCTTGACTGTATATTTTTTTGTCAACCAACAAGTTTGGAGATTTTAGATCTCTATGCACAATTGGAGGATTGCAGTTGTGAAGATAATTCATTCCCTTAGCCTGCATCAGATAACTGGAAAATAAATTCTATGTGAAGAAACACCAAGATCAGAAAGCAATCAACTTAATACGCACCCATACATGATACATGTGACTAAAGAAAATCAGACATACCACATCATGAGCCATACTCAGGCGACGTCTCTCATCTAATTTCTTTCTAATTAGCTCTGTTTGAAAGAAAGCATGGTATTAGCGTCATTAAGACTAAAGTTCTACACTCAACATATACAAATACAACCTTCAAAATGATACGTTGAATGGTGCAATCAAGAGTGGAATCATTTTAAAAAGTTCATGTTTCAGCCTTTTGTCATATAAATTAACTAGCAAGAGACATCCTTGTTGGTTCTAGTCTTCTAGACATCCCAACTTGCAAGAACATATGAATTATTTTGTTGAATAAAGAAGAAAAATTGAACAATTGATTACACATAGACTTTACATAATCCAACTTTTATATGAAGCTACAAACAAGATTTAAAACATCAGAGATTTCCATCTAATCTTCCTTCATCTTTAATCTTCATCTTCAACATCTTTCAATGTCTCTCCACTTAAGATACACAAAGCCCAGCTCTATAGTGCGTGAACGCACCAACAACAATCAGAACATGAAACAACTGATGGCTATGTCCAGCTATACCGAATTTCCCCTGCAATAATACATTTTTCATACAGAAAGCAGAAGTCATATGCAGCGAGCATAGGCCAATTTAATAGAAGTAAAAAAGAAACAGAACAACTATGATAATGGGAACTCATATGATATACAGCATAATCCCAGTAAGTGGATATTTGTTAAGAAAAGTCTTAGAAGCGTCAAACTATAGTCATCAGGATATGGTTCTAACACATGGTTGCACCATAAAAGAATGAGAAACACTATAAAAACATTTGTATGCTCTGTAGAAACTTACACTATAATAGTCTAGCTTCAGTAGGTAACATACTTATCCCTAAGCCTCAAAGTAATCAAAGAAGTATGGAGCAATTTCCATATCATCTATTAAAGAGACAGACAACCTCTCTTAAGCAATACTCCACAAGGTACAGAAAGCCCCTCTTAAACAGTACAACAGCAATGTACAATGAGGGAGAAATGTTAAAAGGCGTCACCTTCTCATATAGTCACTCGGCCAAATTTGTGTTTGTAGAACAACTGGTCCAGTGCCCACTTGTAGTGACCTGTATTAAAAAGTGTTTCAGTAATGGAGCTAGAGGGACGCAGAGAAAGGAGAAACCAGTCCTTACGTGCAATCTTGTAGTACGCAATCAGTTCGCCAGGCCTTTCAGTGATCACTGGTTCAAAATCCAAGTGCTAAAAAAAAGGAAAAAGAGCCTTCATCCTCACTTATCTACATGACAAAATTACTTGAACAGTAAGGAGAAAATCACACTAGAATAAAATTACCTGCATATATGTTAGTTGATTATAGCTCAAGGCCTTGATCTTGACGGCTTGATCAGATCCATCCTGTCAGAAAATTTGTCGTTCGTGAAGACCATGGTTACTAATTCATTGAATATCAAACTAAGTAAGAGACAACCACCCTACAATTGTACGAAATTAAGTACCTGAGATAAAAATAGAGGATATTTTCAAGCAACGGGACTTTGATATCTGTAAAAAAAAAGAATTAGCCATTAGACAGTTCACAGTTCAATAAAGTTTTGCTGTAAAAATTGAAGCAGTCTAGTATCTCACGTTAAAACTGATTTAACTGTCCTTTCAAGATAGTCTGTACGACTGCAGGCCATAATCACTACAGCAGCCAAGGGCATCTGCTAAATAAAAACAAGAAACAGGTTATGTATATAGCAAGAGATAGCAGTGCAGCGAATACAAATACAAAGAAGAGCATCTTCTTATCCAGACCTGTCCAGCTTCAATGAGTTTTGCTATTCCTTTTTCTGGGAGAACAAAATAAGTATTACTACCAAAACTAATAAAAAAGGAAGCAATAAAATTAGCTTTACAGGTGATAGCAACGGACTTTCAAACGTCTGGATAAGATCCTTTAGCTGCAAAAGTTCTTGGAGGCAAAGATGTAATGTTTCCCAGAATGTAATCCAAGACCTTACCAATCATCTTAGTCAAATCATTGCAGTAGGAGTGAGCATGAAGCTGATGTGTGTGCCAGATAAGATCAATATCGTAAGTCGGAACACAGAAAAGTTTAATCGACCTTTCTCGGTTACCTTTGATCAAGTAGAGAAATACTTTGTATCTAGCCACAGCTTCTTGTAGAAAGACGTCATTATCTACATGAGCTCTTGAAACCTGCAACAAAGACACACAAACAAATTTGATTACAAAACCTTGCAACAATGTGGTTTGGGACAAGAAGCTGACCATGATAGTAAAACGGGCCTTGTCTCTTGACAGCTGAAACAAAATCATAATAAGTGGTACATTTCTCAAGCGCTGAATAAGAACCCGATAAAAAAAAAAGGCTAAATAACTAGGAGAAAGCATGAACTAACACAAGTAAGGGAATGGAATTGAATACTTGTTCTGAAGCAAGTGGCATGAAAATGTACCTCTCAAGAATCTGGTTTTTCCTAATCTCCTTCCGTGAAAAGAAAGATTCTTAGGGAACCAAGGCAAAGGCTTGATAGCCTCCAATTCACCACTCTCTATAGCCTTAAGTATGGAAAACAAAAACCAACATCTGAGTGCTTTCTTATGTAGACTATCAATGAGACACTAGAAAAAAAAAAAGGGTCATGAATTTACCTCAGCCTGAAGAGATTTCATGAAATTATTCTCCAATTTTAATCGAATCTCATCACAAAATTAACTCTGAAAGCAGCAGGTAATGGCTTATGAAGAAACTCCATAAACTCTTCAGCTTTCACTATCCTTTGTTCCTTATACACACCACAACAGTGTTGTTTAGAAGCAAAGTTTCAAAATCCATGGAAGTGTCATTGATTCTATAGAGGTACCTTGTAATACTCCTCGAAATGAAGATTTCACCAGATGGGCTTTTGGAGGTTGTTGGAATCAAAGGAAGCATCGGATTTGAGGGGGTTTTCAACATTCTCTTGGCTATTTTCGATTTGATTTCTCTTCCAACTGTGTCGTCTCCATTTTTGTTGTTATTACAGTCGCCGAGTTTTTTTGTTTTCGCCGGCGGCGTCACAGTCACAGTCACAGCGATGGGTTTTATTTGGTTTTGAAATTAGAATTGATTTGAGTTCGGTTTATACTGGTTTAGAGAAGAAAACCAAAAAAAAATAAGACGCGCGATGGGATTTTCATAATGAAGAGCGTTGCCTACAAAAAGCATGATTTTTGTAGGCAACCCCTTTAGAAAACGGAGACACGCGCTCAACGCGAGAGGGATGAGAGTGGGTGTGAAATCGCGAGATTGGTAAAAGTGAGGTATGAAGTGGCGCACTCTGATTGGTTTAAAAACTAAAAATAGTAGACATATAGCTCCTCTCCTCCTCCTCCGGTAAAATTTATTATGCTTGTTCTTCTTATAGACGAAATTTTGTCATTTTAATATTTGCCCCAGCTGAGAATGAAATTAAGATTTTCTTCAATCTGAAAGTTGTGTGTGTTTTAGATACACACTTGTATCCATCTATATGATTTCTTGCTTCGTATTATCGCCTATGCTAAATTATACGTACCGTACTTGCTTCCTCGGTTTTAAGTGTTTTTGCGACTATATATACGTCACTGACTCACTGCTATATATTTTCATGAGCTATACTTATACAGCTAGTAACATGAGTTAAATAAGAGTAAGTGGTAGATGATCAATTAGATTGTATCTGAAAAACAAGATAAACATTTTTAGAATCACAATACAACAAAAATGAAGATCTATGCATATATGTGTTACTTAGTAGGTTAGCCTTGAAATTTCGAAATATTACAGCAAAGTGAATGTGCTATTTTTGATTTGCAACATTTTCCAAGAGACCATAATTTGTGATGAAAATATGGCATCTACGATACTTTTGAATTAACAAACAAACGACAAAATACTTCAGAAAGCAGAAAAAATAACACATAATTTGCTGCAGTTAATAAACCAAAAATTAAGTAAAGTAAGCATATTAAAGCTGTATTTATTAATTTCTTCTCAAAGCAAAGTGCATCAATATATATAAAGAATAAATTAAGTGGAGCATTAATAAGATACAATCTCTTATTTATTTATTTATGTATATGAAATCTGAACACAATAAAACTAAATTGAAGTGTATAAGAAAAGAGAAACAAAACAGGTAAACCAAACAATTAAGCACATTTTAAGAAGTGTTTATCAATTGTTAAAAAACAAGTGGGCCATTAGTTTTGTATGTTAAAAGTGTATACTAATTGTTTTAGAAAATTACACATATTAATGTGTATACTAATTGTTTTGTAAAAAAAATCCAAGTTGAGTAATACTTTTTTATTAACAAGTAAAATGGACCAGTTAAGAGATAATAAAGTTTTTTTTTTTATGTATATTGTTCCTTTTTGAAATGCTAGTAAACTAGTAAGATGGAGAAAATATTCATTTATGTATATGAAATTCAATCTCAATAGATTAAAAACTATTACAAATAAGAAACAAATTATTGGAAAAGCAAAAAATTCAGAACATTAAAGTAATTAATTAATTTATAAACAAAATAAAAAGAAAGTGGACAAATGTCTAGAAAACAAAATCTATGGATCCATATGGGAAAAGTGTAATTTTGTTATTTATTTATATGATAATATATTTAAAATCTATATATAGATATAAGAAAATAAATAAAAAGATAACTAGAAACTATAACCAAACATAGTTTGAACACCTTTAAGTAATATAAATACTTCAATATTTGGGTGTAAAATGTACATCTCAAAACAACGAAATTATTAGGAAGCTTTCAAGAAAATATTGATCTGTAATCTATGGATTTTGTTTTTAAACTCGTCGGATTCATCTTCATAGTTTCAATAGTTCAATCTAAAGGAAATGTAAGAGATTTGATATCTGTAAAGGTAAACTGAAAGTCTCAAATTAATATTTTTTAGATCAATTTATGATATTTATCTCATATATATATTTTAATATTAATTTATGATATTGATCTCAATTTTATAGTTAAATGAGAACACCATATATGATTGTGTGGATATATATAAACAACCGTCGTTAAGTCATCCACTACTTAAAAATCATAAAATTCAGGTATTTATTCACAAAATTACATTTTACATGGGTTTTTCTCTCTCTTAGTAGAACAATAACATATTTTCTAGACTATGCATCTTCTTAAGGTATAGAATAATACATACTTGTTTATCCCAAATACATGTTTTTTATATAGTTTGTGCCAAATATAAAACTTCAATTATCTAATTTGGTCTAGTTCTCACCTCATGTATCTATCTTGTAACTCTTTAATTTTGTGTAGTTGGAACCATCTTTCTCCATCTCCAAACCAAAAAATCAAGTTAAACGTGAAAGTGAAAGGGAAAATATCATCGAGTGTCCAAATGGAACAGTTCCTATACTGAGAAATACAAAAAGATATGTTGCAAATGCTCAATATTGGACAGAAAAACACTTAAATCCGCTTACAGCCGATAGTCATGGGACACATGTAAGCAAATCTACATGAATATTTGAGTTACAATTATGAATATGTTTAAAATGTGTAGGATATAATAAACTTGTTATAAATTTGAACATTTGAAGATTGCTGGAGTTAGAACAACAGATCAAGGTCCTTACCGTGGTGTGATAGCTTCGCTTAGTGTGCATGACTTGAATATTAGTAGAGATCAAGCTTCATATGCTCACATATATATTGGCAGTGGAATCTACAATAAAGTTAATTTTATCCAAACCGGTTGGATGGTAAATTTATTTTTATAATATTTTTAGATTGTTTAATATAAATTTGTTTTAAAAAGAGAATACACTAATTTAGTTCACAGATAAATCCAAGTTTATTTGGTGACGGACGTGCATGGAGTTATGGGTTTTGGAAGGTACATTTATCGATAGATATATATATATATGTTGATGGCCTCTTATGTACACCAATTCTAACTATTTTCAAATACCATAAGAACTAAATTAAAAATATTAACGCTAAACAAAAACAGGGAGCTAACGGAGCAGGTTGTTATAATACAATATGTCGTGGTTTTGTTCAAGTATCAAAAACTGATCATTTAAGTGGGCCTTTACCTCAACTCCCCGCAGGAGGAGAAAGAGCTATTTCTGTTTCTATTCAACAGGTTATATAATAAATACATTCTTCTTGAAACAAATACTATGATTTTTGTAGTATAGAAAACCTAACACAGTATATATATTTTAATTTATCTATTGATTAAAGGACAAAAAAACAGGAAATTGGTGGACTACAGATATAAGAAGCAATGAACCAGATGTACATATAGGCTATTGGCCAAAAGAACTATTTGATCTTATTAGTAAGAGTGCAAACATAGTTGGAGTTACAGGATCAGTCCAGGCTTCTCCTTCTGGTCAAAGCCCACCAATGGGTAATGGTCATTTCCCAACTGACGATGACGCAGGATCGGCACGTGTTGGAGAAGTTAAGTTCATAGATAATGATTTTGTGGTCAAGGGAAGTGACCAATATAAGTTAGAGAAACTTTTAGACAGTAACAAATGTTATGGTCTAAAAGATGGAAAGAAGTTAATTTTGTTCAAATATGGTGGACCTGGAGGAAATTCTTGTGGGATCTAATATTTACTAAGTGATGTTCTTGGTTATTCGAATAAAAATTATTTATCGGACTTCAGCTATCATGTTCAAGTATTAAAATCTTATATATCTCTATATTAACTGAAAGATAACCTCTGCATGTGATCTCCGATTTGAAGTGGTTGTATAAGATTGGTTTATCATTCTATTTCATTAATTACGTAGCTAGTACATTAGTTAACTAAATAATTATTTTGGTTAATATGTTTTTTTTTTTGTGATTAAAACTTGGGTTTCAACTATTAGAACTGATTTATGTTAAATATATAGATGCAATCTTTAATTAAATAACGACACAAAAATGTGTAAATGAATAATGTTTGTATGATTTGCAATGAAATGGCAATGAATCTTTTGGTTACCTGTGAAAGAAGTAAGAAAGCGAGACTGTAATTGTAGTTTATATCCTTAACATTGAAAAAGAAGTTGGCAAAAACAAAAGATATGAATAAGTATAATGTCTTAGAAGTAAGCTGAGAAAGAAGTCCTAGCAAAATCCGAGAAAATTAAGATTGTACTTTTGGCATACAAAAAAGAGAGAAATCCAACACCAGATAGTATAGAAGCAAATAAAAACAACCGAGGCTCCAAAAGGAGCATCTCATATGACTTGGTAACTCTGTGCAATCAGCTGCGTCCTCTGCACAAACCTTGGAGCCGCACCACCACCGCCTCCCAGAGGTATCATTCCAGTCACCTGCACCGTTGTGAACAAGCCTCTCATTTGTAATCCAACATAAAAATGCCTTGAATTCTCATTTAAACCAAAATATGGAACTTGGGTTTTGTCCAGAGGACCAAGATTCATACCTTCAAGCCACTGTAGGTACTTGTGGCTGCAAACTGAACAGAGATGGGGAAGAACACGGATGAATCCACTGGTGGCACAACAAACTCCATTGACCCACTGCAACAAGATATTCATTTATTATACACATGACAAACAAAACTCTACTGTAGTTTTAAGCAGATGATGTCGTTATTAGTTACCTGCGGTTGGAGTTGTCAATAAGAAGTATAGACCATTCCAGAACAGAATTTCTTGGGTTATACCTGATATTAGAAACAAAGATATGGTTGGTTCTTAAGATTGGTTTAAACAATTATGAGTTTCATCTCAGAACAAATAAAGAGATAACCAGCGTGAAAAAAAGTCAAATTCTATTTCAAACCTCCACTCCCCATCACATTGTCTAACGCTGGGTGCCTCTCTCAGTGCAGGAAGTGGTACGGAGATGATTACATTGGTCAGATCAAAAATGGATGAAGCTTCATACTCGAGGCTGACATATGTCTCATTTCCAGAGACAGAAGGCCAGCAGTTTACTGCACCAGACAAAAGATTTGCATGAATGGGACAAACATATACATGTAAACCTGTCAAAAACAGACACGATAACCTCCACAGCCTTACTTGTTAGTGGCACCATTGACTCGTCTGCTTTTTGCATTCTCCACCTGAGAAGACCAACACCATCTCCACCTTGACCAGTGGGAAATGGCTGATCAGGTCTCTTCAGCCCTAGAATATTCTCATTATTGAACATATCTCGGTTGATGTTGGGATGGGTCTTGAAAAGAATTTCGGGATTTTCACCGGTTGCGATCTGAAGACAAAGTAAAACATAGCTGTATTCATACAAAGATAAAATACAGAAAGTGATCTATTTAAGAAAACTGTAAAATGCCTAGGAAACTCTTGGAAATAGTTAAGAAAGAACGTTGGAGTACCTGGACTTGGACAAATCCATCTTCTTGGTTAAGAATTTGAAGTGACAGGGTTCCCTGCATATCAAAGGAACTGATTCCACCATCTCGTCTCAATATAACATTGAGCTTCTCTTCGACAGTTAATGTGAAAGGATCAGTTGGAGGTGGGGCAGCTGCTTTGGATTGGCCAGTAGGCTTAACATCTTCAATGATGTCTTCACCTTCTGCTTTAAGGGACTCCATTAACTGGTTCTTGCCCGACTTGCCAAGTTTCATGCCAGAACTCTTAGGAGGAGCAGTAACAGAAGACCGTGATCGATCTGTGAAGTTAAGCACGGTGGATAAGAATTTAGATTTTCATATCGAAATCAAGTATATATATAGAGGCACTTAAGAAACCATAGATGGAAGGGCATTTCGATTTGAATACTTGGGATTGAACGGTCCTGTGAAAGATCCACTAGTTAAAGCACACTAACCTTTTGGTTTGGTATTGATAGGGTCGACATCTGAAATCATGCCAAACCCAGAACCACTTCCAAAACCACCGCCACCACCACCACTGGATATGCCCAATTCACTGAAACTACTTTCAAGTCTTCCAGATCCCATTGAACTAATGGACGAATATCCTGGCTTATTCTTTTCAATCTGGGAATTACATAAGAAATATTAATAGGAGTTACAAAAAATAGCATAAAACAGCAGGGTGCACTCCTGTCATGTACCTTGCTTTTGTCAATCTCATTAGCCTTACGCTTCATCACGTCTTTAGTGTCATTGATCTTGCTCTGCATTACCAGTTTATGCAACTTCTCCTCATGACTTTCCATTTCACAATACTGCTTCACCTGGGCAACTGTCACACTTTCCTTGTGCCCAAGAGATATGACTTCATCAAATGCAAATATCAGCTCAAAAGAAGCCCTGGAAATCCCTTCTTCATCTAAAGACATGGAATACTCAGGTACCTAGAAACACTCAAATGATCAAACTGCATGCCTTGGCTGCAATGAAGATAAGGTGCTAACAGCACTAGGAACACTCACTTTTCAAAAGAACTAAGAACCAGTACACATCCAGACGCAAGGAAAAAACTCCTCAAATAAAGTAGAAGAACTAAAAAATAAAAGAAGAAAGAAGCATACAAGTTTGGAGAGCAATGTGAGGGTGGCCAAATCTTCTAGAATGTTACTCTGCTTAGTTGTAACAAGAAGCAGGAAAAGAGCTTCAATAGGCTGATAAACATATCGCACATTCTCTGTCTCAATATAGGTATGCTGCTTTCCCATTCCAACCAGCTTAGGAAAAGCTGCAAGAAGACCTTCGATTCTGATACGGGACATATCCACATATTGTCTGGAAACAAGCACTATATAAAAGAACAAAGTTAGAGAAAACGCAAAAGTAATGAAAAACTAGAATTCGAAGACAAAATAAAAGATAGACGTAGAATTCACCTTTCCCAGACTTGACCACAATGGAAGCAGCAAGCACGACCTATAAAGCACATGTTACAAATTTAGTAAAGTTGCCAATAATCAAACCAGAAAACTCATCAAACAAAAAATTCATAGAACAGAACGCAATACCATTTTGATTTGCTATTCAGGTTCGAACAATCTCAGCAGCTATAAGAAAGGTAATGTGAATCTGAAATACAAAGCACCAATGTTAGAGTAAATCCAGTTAGAGCGAGATCAGAAGAAACAAACGAGATTTGATCTTCGAGATCATAAATCACGTAAGCAGGGGAAGAGATCTAGCATCTGGTAAGGAACGAATACACGAATCCAAACGAAACTAGACTAGCGAATCAACAATACAAAAAGAAACTCAGATGAAATCCCGCAGATCCAACGGATCTAAGAGAATCAGAGGCTCATAATCGAAAAACAAAACTGTAGAATCGAAATCAACACAAGCGGATCAAATTCATGAAACAGGATCGCGAAATTTAGAAGAAGGAGAAAATTCCTAAGATGGAGATCCAGAAAACTTCCGCAGTAATGCAGTTCATACAAAGGAAAACGAAAATCATGACCAGAAACGAAGACGAAGAGCGAGAGAACAAGACGATACCTTGGGAGTGATCGAAGGAGATGAAATCACCAGTTTCTTCACAAGCTCGCCGAGTAAAAAAGATGAAAAGATTAAATCCTAGTGTGTCAAGAGAAGACGATCCACTTGGGCCGTTTCAGTGGCTTATTGGGCTTTTCAGCCCATCGTATATTATAATTTTCACAGCATGAAATTATTTAACAAAATGCGAAAAGGGCAAATTCGTCATTGGTGAAGACCGACGACGTTCGGTTTAATCCGGTTGAATTTGAAAGGAATGTCCTTTTAACTCTGTACTGAGATTTGTAGCAATCAATCATCTTCAAAAGTCAATTTCAAGTCTAGGGTTTTAATTTGATACGAGGTCAGCGAATCCGGCGACGAATATCCGCCACTAATAACTCTAGCTCAGGTGGGTTACCCTCTCTATCTCTCTCGTTTTCTTGCTTTATCCGGTTTTCACTTTGTTCACTTACAAGTATCCTCATTTGATCTGAAGTATGCTCATTTGATATTTTGGCTTTTGACCAAGTTCAGGATTTAGGACTCTGATTATCTGTCAATACTTGATTAGTTTAGTGCTTAAGTTATTAGTTCTTGGTTTGCCCACTTGCGCCATGTTCTTTTCTATAGCAATGAGATTATATTCATTTAAAGATCTCGAAAAAAGAAACTGATGGAGACAAATCAAGATGAAGTTTAAGGGTTTTTGTTGTTAGTAAAAAAGTTTTCTTCTTTTTGATTTTCAGAGACATTACTTGCTAGAAAGTCGTAGGATTGATTCAAATAGTGGAATCAGACAACTTTTTCTTGTATGGGCGATTACTTGTTTTTCTTCTTTGGTGTTCTAAATTTGTTCTTTGGTCTTCTGATTGTTTAGTTTTCTAGCTGATGGTTAAGTCTTCTCTTTGGTGATCCTTTTGGCTTTCCTTCAAGTGTAGGTAAGGATTTGTGTCCATGGCAGCTTTGCAAACGCCTCGTGAATGGATCGGTATCCAGCAGTTCCCACCTGCTACTCAATCTAAATTGCTCGAGATCCTTGGGAAGTTTAAAGAAGAGGTTCCTTTCTTATTTCTAGCTTCATCTTCTTTCTGTATTTTTCTTGTTTCATGTTTCTCTGGTTTTAGCTTCTAATGTGTAAGAAAAAAAAACTGGTGTAGGATGTGAGCTCGCTAACGGTCCTTGTAATGGGCAAAGGCGGTGTCGGAAAGTCATCAACTGTGAATTCAGTTATAGGAGAGAAAGCTGCTGCAGTTAGTACTTTCCAGGTGCCAAGTTTAATGATCTTCTCATGGCTTGTCTTCATGACTATTTCCTAACTTTCTTTTAAATCTTCTCATATAATGTGTGATTTCCCTCTTTATAGTCTGAAGGACTGAGGCCTACCTTGGTCTCCCGCTCAAGATCGGGATTTACATTGAATATCATTGACACTCCTGGTCTTATTGAGGGAGGATATGTGAATGATCAAGCCATCAACATTATAAAACGGTATGTTGAACTGTTTCCAGGTCTAAGGAGTTATTCTCCTAATTAGTGGCTCATTTGTGTCATGTATATTAATTTGGATTCGTGGGTGTTGAATTTGAACAGATTCCTCCTCAACATGACTATAGATGTGCTACTATATGTAGACCGTTTGGATGTATATCGGGTGGATGACCTTGATAGGCAAGTTGTCAGTGCTATAACCGATGCATTTGGAAAAGAGATATGGAAAAAGTCTGCTCTTGTTCTCACACATGCTCAGTTCTCTCCGCCAGACGGGTTAAATTATAATAGCTTTGTCTCCAGAAGATCTGATGCTCTTTTAAAAGTTATCCGTACAGGCGCCCAACTGAAGAAACAGGATTTGCAGGTATTGCGGGTTCCTCCTTTCTAGTATATTACACCCGCACACAAATCTCTGTAACTACTTCAATAGTAGTGAAATTAATAGCTTCATTAACCTATAGGGTTCATCTACACCCATCATTCTTGTTGAGAACAGCGGAAGATGTCATAAGAATGACAGCGATGAAAAGGTCAGTTGGTTGGTTTCGTCCACGTAATCTATTTCTTGCATCTTGTAGTTGGACCAATCTTGAATTCATATTTTCCAAACCTGTGACAGATTCTTCCAGACGGGACTAGTTGGATTCCCAATCTGCTCAACACAATCACAGAGATCTCTTTTAATGGCAACAAGGCGATTCACGTTGACAAGAAATTGGTCGAAGGGCCAAACCCAAATCAAAGAGGAAAGAGACTGATTCCTTTGATCTTTGCATTCCAAGTAAGCGACTCTGAACCATTCAGCAACAACACAGAATAAGACTTGATGATAAACATCTTGCATCATTAATTCATCTTTTTTACTTGTTTGAAATACAGTACTTGTTGGTGATGAAGCCATTGGTTCGAGCAATCAAGTCCGATGTTACTAGAGAGAGTAAACCGGCGTGGGAGCTGCGGGACTCCGGTTTAGCAAGTCGAAGGTCTTGAGTTGTTGACACGAGTTTTGTTTGGTTTGCTTGTCTATCTGAGAGATTGTTCTGTAGTTTTTAATTGTGATGACTGGAGAAATGTTGTTCACATATTTTACTGTCGCAAAGTTTTCTTATCTTCTTTAACCTCTGGTAAATCGTAATTAAAAGAGTTAATTCCATATTTTAATTAATGGTAAAGTAACCGCTGCAGTTATTTTTGACGCGATGTAAATTTTGAAATAAAAAACATAAGAGGAACGAAGAAACGAAACGACGTTAAAAGGAAATTGGGCAAACGGAGAAGACGGCTCAGAGTTTTTTGAAATTGAATTCGCAGAGAACGTCGTTTACTCTTCTTCTTCAATTTCAAATAAAGTTTTTGAATTTTCCAACTATCTCTAGTGAATTTAGGGTTTTGATTTCGACATTTGTCTAAAGATTTGCTTTTTTCTAAAGGGTCCGATTGTGTAGTCAAACCAGATCAAATGTCGGCATCAACGGTGTCGATCACCGCTAATACGGCGGCGGCGACTAGACGGACGCCGATTCTTTCCGGAGAGAAAAAATCAAACTTTGATTACCCGCAAAGCGAATCGCTTGCGAACGGTGGTGGTGTTGGGGAAGCCGGTGGTACGAGCAGAGATCTGAGCCGCGGTGAGGCTATCGTTGATCGATCTCACGGTCAAGATTTGGGTCCTGTGACGAGAAGGTCTGGTTCCGCTGCGACGGGGACTAATACCACCACCACGCAGCGCCGGACACGGAAGGTTGCGACTCCTAAGCCTGAGAAAGCGCGGTGGAAGACAGTGGTGAGGATATTTGCAAAGCAGCTTGGGGCACTTCTGATCATTGTTGGGTTAATTCAATTGACGAGGAAGATGATTCTGAAGGCTTCTTCTCCATCCTCTCCGATTTCTTCTTATGAAACGGAGATGGCGTTTTCGGGATTAGAAAGTCGAATTGCGGAAGTAGATGGTCTTGTTAAGGCCACGACGAGTACGATGCAGGTTCAAGTTGAATTACTTGATAAGAAGATGGAGAGGGAAGCAAAAACGCTGAGGCAAGAAATCGAGAGGAAAGCTTCTGCATTTCAGAGTGAGTTGAAGAAGATAGAATCTAGAACCGAGTCTCTAGAGAAGTCAGTAGGTGAAGTAAATGCTAAACCTTGGGTGACGAAAGATGAGTTAGAGAGGATTTATGAGGAACTGAAGAAGGGTAATGTTGATGATTCTGCTTTTAGTGAGATTAGCATTGATGAATTGAGGGCTTATGCTCGTGACATTATGGAGAAAGAGATTGAGAAACATGCTGCAGATGGCCTTGGCCGAGTTGATTATGCATTGGCTTCTGGTGGTGCTTTTGTGATGCAGCATTCAGATCCTTATCTTGTTGGAAAAGGGAGTAGCTGGTTTGCGACTACCATGCGACGCGCTCATACCAATGCGGTTAAGATGTTATCTCCGAGTTTTGGGGAGCCTGGACAGTGTTTTCCTCTGAAAGGTAGTGATGGCTATGTGCAAATCAGGCTGAGAGGACCAATCATACCAGAGGCTTTCACATTGGAGCATGTAGCTAAGGTAATGATACTCTTGCACTGCAAAATCTTTATGTCTTAGTATCAGTTTTCTTTCTTGTGTGCTCTTACGACCTGTGTTGTTTACATTTTTAAAGAACATTATTAGCTCATATATAGGAGTTTCTGTGTAGAATGGTTTGATATTGAAATGCCCGGTAAAGATGACGGAATTTTCTGTGTGACGGATAGTGGGAATGTAAACATTTTATGAAATTGTTTGGTTTAGCCTTGAGGTTAGTTTAGGTCGTAGCTGCAAAAGATCTGAACTGAATAGGAATCCATCTCTGTGCGTACCACTTTACCTTTAGGAGTTTCTTTAAGACCTTTTGCCTGTTTGATGTGGCATTCTCTTTTTGGAATTTATTACACAGGCCACTCTATCAAAGAATCTCAAACCTTTGTGAAAGAGTTCAATAGTATGCATAAATGGATCCTTTGAGGGTTTTGTGTTATCTTCTGTTTCTGTTTTCAATTACTGGGACTAGACTATTTGTTGTTTGGGTTTATTTCATCACTGACAATAACCGAGTGAAATGAAACAAAGAAGACAATTGGATAAGCTTATTACTTACTGTTTTCACTGCTCAAAAGTCAATCTCTGAACATTTTTGGGTCTTTCTTATCTTGGGGAATATATATGTACACTGACCTGATGGATTCATGCATTGTGAAAATGAACAGAGTGTAGCTTACGACAGATCGAGTGCTCCAAAAGATTGCCGTGTATCAGGATGGCTGCAAGGACAAGGAAAAGGACTGGAATCCTCAGCGGAGAATGAGAACATGCAACTTCTAACAGAGTTCACTTACGACCTAGACAGGTCGAACGCACAAACATTCAACATCTTAGACTCATCAAACTCTGGTCCAATCGATACTGTCAGGCTAGACTTCACCTCAAACCATGGAAGCGATTCGCACACTTGCATCTACCGGTTCAGGGTTCACGGGCGTGCATCAGACCCGGTCCCTGTTGTGGAAACGAGTCTTGATCAGGACTCTTCACCTGGAAGTGAATAAACAAACATCTTCTGTATTGTAACATTCCTTCATCCACATTCTCTTTTGTTGCTTGTTTTTTTTTTTTTTTTTTTTTTTTTTTGGAAAGAAAAAGAAAGCATCAGATTCTGTGATTAGACTAGTAGAGAGTTGTTTGATTTGATTCGTCTTCTTTTGTGTTACCTTTTGGTTTATTTGGTTGCAGAATACATAAATCAAGAAATCCAAATGATTTGTTCATCTTCAAAACGCATCTTGCCTATCTTCTAGGCTCGATATGATAACATCATCTTAGAAGGATATCTCCAAGTTGGTTTTGTTCAAGCAGAATATACAACTATGTTCAAATGTCCTATTCAATTAAATCACATCAAGTTCAAAAGTTTACCGAATCAAATAGTTAGTTTTCATTTTTGAAATCGTCGAATAAAAGATACACTTTATTGTAAGACCACAAACTAAAGTTGATTTCTTTTTTGGACTGCTCTAGGCTCTACATATACCACACGCATATATATGTGCACTAAAAACGTTACTTTCTAAGTGAAGTAATCAAAGTTCGGTCAAAGGATTCATATATATTGTAATCCAGGTCTATCTATCTATACACCACACGATAGAAAAAACAAAAGATGAAAAGGAAGAAGAAGATTTGTATAATGAAAAAGCAAAGGAACAACAGGGGCATATAAGTATCAAAGCAAGGGAACAGTGTTCTTGATTTCAGACTTTTTCAGCATATATTCTTTCAATTATTTTAATTCTTTCTTATCTTTGCTTCCTAAACTGATAAAGATCTCTTCTTTTAAAAAATAGAAAATATCAGAAAAACGAAGTGAAGACCATTAATAATAATTCCTTATGCTATAGTTTGTTAATTCTTTAGTGTTCGAAGACCAAACCTGAAGAAGAAAGCTCTTGAATTCTCCCTCATACCACGAGAACCCTCTAAAGAAAGTTGCTTTAACTCTTAGAACAAAACATGTCGGATCCACTCTATATATTTAATAGTATGTCCCTCTGTGTATATATTTACATGTGTGTGTCTGTTTATCTTCAGAATTTTGTCGTCTTTGTCTCATATTTTGGCTATTTTTTGGTTCTGTTTTTGACTTTTGCAGGGTCTCAATCCGAGATAGTAATTGAATCTCTTTTAGCTTCAAGCAATCTCAGATCTTCAATGCCCACTCAGCAAATCCAATCCTTAAGGTATATACACATAGTTATACATCTTTGTTGGTGTTTTTTTTTTTCTCTGTATAGATTCTTGATTTGTTCGGTAATAAAAGTCTCCTTTTTGTTTTATCCCTCAAAACAGAGATACTCTGTTTTTATTTCTAATGTTTTGGTTTTATGAATATATGAAGAGTCTTTGTGGCGACATGGAACGTTGGAGGAAAATCTCCACACTCTGGTCTTAATCTCGATACTTTGCTTCACGTCCACAGCGAATATGATATATACGTTTTAGGGTACACAATTTCTAAATCTCTTGAGTATTTCATGGATTAGTGTCTTGAGGGTTATCGATTTAATCTTTTCTCATAGTTTTCAGGAGATTGTTCCACTGAATGCTGGAAATGTCCTTGTTCTTGGAGACAACGAGCCTGCTGCGAAATGGTTAGCTATGATCAATCAATCCTTGAACAAGTCATCATCATCATCATCGTCTGGAGGAAGACTTGGTCCAAAAACTCCATCTTTTGGTGCTGGATCGATGTTCTTTGCTAAACCTTCTTTGAAGAAGATCAGTGAGAGCTTCAGAACAGAATGCAGGAGAAAGCTGAAGATCTGTAACTGCATCACTTTCTCTGAAGAGATTGTAAAAAAGTATGGGAGAGAATCTTGTTTCAGATGTCCAGAAGGTCTAGTTAACCAATCCGGTGTAATTTCTGATGACGAAGAAGACGAAGATGATGATGACGATGATGATGAAGACGAGGATGAAGGAGGAGGAAAAGTTGCTTCTCTTGTAAGCAACCAGATGATGATGAAGTATGGCTTAGTAGCATCAAAGCAAATGGTGGGAATATTCCTCACTGTGTGGATGAGAAAAGAACTTATTCAACACGTTTCTCATCTCAGAATCTCCAGCGTCACCCGCGGAATCATGGGTTGCTTAGGAAACAAGGTACAGTACTTTTAACACTCACACTAAAAACCATAACAAGTAAAAAAGCTCTGTTTCTGATATTCTCTTCTTATTCATCATAGGGATGCATAGCTGTGAGTTTGCAGCTCTACAAGACTAGCTTCTGCTTCATCTGCAGTCATCTAGCTTCTGGTGAGAGAGAAGGAGACGAACGCCGCAGAAACTCAGATGTGATCGAGATTCTAAAGAACACAACATTCCCTAGAATCTGCAGAACTTCTTTTACTCGTGTCCCTGATCGAATCACTAAGCATGAGTAAGATTTAAGAACACAAATATCATCATAACATTTATAGGCTTCCAACTCAAAACCATCCGGCATGAATGAATTGGTTTTTGTTCTTTAGGTCTTTATCTCATGTCCAATGTGAGACCTTTAAGTTCACCATATTTTCTACCTTGGCTAATCTCCGGTTTTCTTATCGCATTTTAATCTCAGTCGGGTCATATGGCTAGGAGATTTGAACTACAGAATAGCTTTGAGTTACTCAGAAACAAAGACGCTCTTGGATAAAAACGCTTGGGACACTCTTCTTAACAAAGATCAGGTTTCACTAACGGTTCCTTTTCTCGCAAGAAATCAAATTTCAGTGTGATCTTACCTCAAAATAGAAAGCTAAACCGGTTTATTGTTTCTGAAACGAATTACAGCTCAAGATTGAAAGAGACGCAGGTCGAGTGTTCAAAGGATGGCACGAAGGCAAAATCTTCTTTGCACCAACTTATAAGTATTCTTATAACTCTGATGCTTACGCCGGAGACACTACCAAAGAAAAGAAGAACAAGAGAAGAACTCCGGCCTGGTATAGTTAACCGGAAAATTCTATTTCTGATTTTGATTGGTTTTGGTTCGGTTAAGCTGAATGGGGTTTATCTCTTTTTTTGCGTCAGGTGCGATAGGATTCTTTGGCACGGGGATGGAATCCGGCAGCTCTCGTACGTGCGCGGCGAGTCACGATTCTCTGATCACCGGCCGGTTTGCTCCGTATTTGTCGTCGACGTTGAGGTTTGCGAGGGTAAAACCGGAACTAGAAGACAATAATTTACATTTGACTGTTGAAAACCGTCCTGGTAGATATTAAGACATAATGTTTCCATTTATTACGATACTGCCACTAGCTGACCTTTGGAGCCCGCTAGAGTATTTACTTTGACGTTATGTTGTGAAAAAGGTGAACAATATAGCATAGAGTAAGACCCATTTTCGTTAGTAATATTGGCCGACCAAACCAAAAAACTCGGCAAGTCTTGCGGATTGTGTATCCAGCTCTTTTAATTTGTTTGACAAATTTGCCAACTAAGAAATTTTGTAATTTGGTTATATATGAATTATTTCTTACAAAATATAAGATTCTCATAGTATCTTATGAGAACATAATTTAAATTTTTCCAATAATAACGTTTGATTTTTGGTTTTCAAAGCAAGTGAGGTTTTGTGGATGATTATACATACATCCATAATATGATTGTTTGTATAGCCGTATATTTGAAATTTAATTTCGGTTAAGACTTTCGATAGACCAATATATGTTCTATCTAACCTATCTAATCACGATATGATATCTATATATGAATTCATCTCTTCGAGTGTTGTAATTTGACTTTTATTTCAAATATAAAATTAATCCGGAAGGAAAGAGTATAATTAATTGGAGCCTAACTTGTAACAAACAAAGTGATGATTTAAGATTTCAAAAAACTTATAAACGGGTCTTGCCTTCTCCCCGAAGTTCCGCAACATCTCACATGTGACATGTAGTCATGTATTCGTTTTAGCTTCATTCTAATTAATCATTACGTATTCGGTTTGTGAATTATAGACATTATCATTGGTTTTAATTTTGTTAGTTTATTCAGAATCACGTATTTATAACCTATTATATATGTATTTTGTTAAGTTTCATGGACATGGACCAATCCATGCATAATTTTAACCTATTAGGATCGTCAAAATTCAAAAATATAATAAATTTGGGGGTATTATTGAAAGTAATTTAGCATTCAAAATGTATATGATCAAGAAAACCATATTCTCTAATTAAGTTATTGCTATTCTTAATTTTAAAATGTATGACTATAAGAAACCAATGAAATATTTTTATACAATCTTTTTTTAAACAGGCTAAAACTCGATTTTTTCGAAAAACTCACTCTAAAAGTTGCAATATACGTAGGTTCGACTCTACAGTCATTAAATAATCACCATCCTATGAAGTATGAACTATGTCATATATTAATATCCATATATTTTGGTCAATGTACGACTCGACCAGGTGCAGTCCATTCACCATTGGATCTTACAGTAACTTATTAAGAAAAGTATCTAAAATCTTCTATTATTTATTTGATCAAAATAAAATAATATATATATATATATATATATATATGTGTGTGCCCCTATATATATATATATATATATATATATAGTTCTATAAAGTTGTGTATAATATTTTTCGGACTAATAATTCCTTAACAAGGCAACATGCATTACATTATTCATAACTTTCTCTCGCAAGCCATGCATTATAAATGTGGATGCATATACCTATACATCTACCATGCATACATGAACTAGGACACGCTCTTAGATAACAAGAAGGAAGAAAAAAAAACTTAGAAAAAAATGCAATCTCAACACTTCTCTTCATCTCTCTTGTTCTTGGCTCTTCTCTCTCTTTCATGGGCTTTGCTAGTCTCACCGACACAGCCTCCTCCGGCATGGCCTGCACCAACACAGCCTCCGTCAGAACCTCCAACGTCGCCCCCGTCACAGTCTCCATCGCTGCCTCCTTCACAACCTCCAACACCGCCTCCGTCACAGTCTCCATCGCAGCCTTCTCCACTACCACCAAACATTGCTTGTAAATCCACTCCTTATCCGAAGCTCTGCCGCACGATCCTTTCCGCCGTTAAATCCTCACCGTCCGATCCTTACCATTACGGAAAGTTCACAATGAAACAATGCCTCAAACAAGCTCGTCGCCTCTCCAAAGTCATCAACCGCTTTGCCCATCGCGTGGAAGATGATCCAGGTGCGTCGACGGTGGAAGAGGTCAGTGCGGTGGCTGATTGCGGCGAGCTAGCACAGCTTAGCGTTGATTACCTCGAAACGGTTACGGAGGAGCTGAAAGCAGCGGAGCTGATGACGGCCGCCCTCGTTGATCGTGTTACGAGTCTTCTCGGTGGCGTTGTGACTAACCAGCAAACGTGCCTCGACGGTCTTGTGGACGCTAAGAGCGGGTTTGCGACGGCGATTGGAACGCCGTTGGGGAATCTCACGCGCCTCTATAGTGTGTCGTTAGGGCTTGTGAGTCACGCGCTTAACCGTAATCTGAAGAGGTATAAAGGGTCCAAGGGGAAAATCTTTGGTGGTGGTAACAAACCCGTTCGTGAACCTCTCGAGACTTTGATTAAGGTAATTTTGTTTATCTTTATTTCTTGCTTTGTCTTCGTAGGTTTTTAAATAAATTATTAATTTTAAACTAGACATTAAAGAAAAAAAAAAGCCTAGACAAGTAGATCATGTCCGAATGTTTAGGAATATTGAAGAAAGTCCTAATTAGTACATAATTTTCGTTTTTTTTGTTATATAAATAAATTAAGTATATCTTCTGAACCAAAACATTCATAGATTTTCGATTTTATTTAGCGTAAATCTGCATATGCAGTTTACAAAGATGGGAGTTTACGTATTTACACTAAAAGAATTGGCACATGGCCAGATGGGCGCCTATAGTCACATACTAGAATACTAGAAGTCAACGAAGAATATATTGAAAAGTGTTTGAGTTTTGACTTTTAACATTAATATATGAAAGTTTAACAGAACTAAATAACGAATAAAATCACATGGGTCCACATGATTTCTTCCGGACCAATCAATACTCTCACATGTATTCCCTAATGTACATCACTTTTAGAAGTATGATTTATGAACATGATAGTTAATGTGTACGAAAATGTGCACAGATTACAATTATCACAAGCATTTAAAACTAATGATAAAGTAACTAACTAATTTGTAGGTTTTACGCAAAACATGCGACAAGAGCAAGGATTGTCGGAAAGCTGACAGAAATTTAGGTGAGCTAGGAGAGACGAGCGGTGGCTCGATCCTCGTAAGGGAAGCAGTAACCGTCGGTCCATATGAAACCGATAACTTCTCTACCATAACTGAGGCCGTCGCTGCCGCACCTAACAACACATTCCCGGAGCAAGGCTACTTCGTAATCTATGCAAGGGCAGGTCTTTACGAAGAATATGTTGTTATTTCAAATAAAAAAAGGAACATCATGCTTATTGGAGATGGGATCAATAAAACTATCATTTCTGGAAACCACAGTTTTATTGATGGTTGGACGACTTATAATTCTTCAACCTTTGGTAAATATTTTCATATTTTCTTCTTTACAATTTATTTTTATCTGAAATAACTCCTAAATATTTTCTTAGAATCTAGACTATATAATAACTTTTGATCGCATTTGTAGCGGTGGTCGGAGACCGATTTGTTGCAGTTGATGTAACATTCCGAAACACAGCTGGACCAGAGAAACACCAAGCCGTGGCCGTAAGAAACAATGCGGATGGGTCAACATTTTATCGATGTAGTTTTGAAGGCTATCAAGATACTCTTTACGTTCATTCTTTAAGACAGTTCTATCGTGAATGTGATATATATGGTAGGATATATCATTTATCTTCAGCTATAAACATCAACTTTAAAAATACTTTTTCTGAATTTTTAATATATTATTTTGCTACAGGGACCATAGATTTTATATTCGGAAATGCGGCTGCAATCTTTCAAAATTGCAACATATATGCCCGAAAACCGATGGCAAATCAGAAGAATGCAGTGACAGCCCATGGAAGAACCGATCCAAACCAGAAAACTGGAATCTCCATCATTAATTGTACTATAGGAGCTGCCCCGGACCTCGCGGCTGACCCCAACTCGACCATGACATTCCTTGGGCGACCATGGAAGCCTTACTCGAGGACGGTCTACATACAATCATACATCAGCGATGTTGTCCAACCCGTTGGGTGGCTAGAGTGGAATGGGACAACCGGGCTAGACACGATCTCCTATGGTGAATATGACAACTTTGGACCGGGGGCTGACACAAGTAAAAGGGTCCAATGGTCAGGATATAGCCTATTGAACTTGGCAGAAGCCATGAACTTCACCGTATATAACTTCACTTTGGGAGACACTTGGTTGCCTCAGACCGACATTCCCTTCTACGGCGGTTTGCTTCACACCGAATGAAAATTTCTTAAAATATTATATAGATACTTGGTCTTGCCTCATTTAAATGCAATAAAAATTTTATTCATTTTTGTTATTCGAAATCTGAATTTTGGTACTAGTTACTTACTATAATAAATGATTAACGGTTCATGTATTAGTAGGGAGTATAATTTCTTTGATTTCAATGAAAAAACTATTTTGATATCAGCTTTCATTTTTGTTTAGAAAAAAAGGAAAAACAAGGAACTTTATTTTATCAGTTGAGGCATAGAACATTATATGATTTTCGTAAAGAAAATGAAATTATATGAATAGATACAAATTCGGAAACTTTTGGAAAATAAACAATACAAGGTAAAAAATTTTTTTAAGGAAATATTGTATGTTCGTTAGAAACCAAATTAAAGAACGACTAGCTAGCCATCAATTTTCAGACCAGCCTTTTTCCGGCAAATAATATCAAAAATCAGATTTGAACGGAACTTTGGTTGCCGGCAACCAGTTATTGCCGTCTATAAAAGGTTTCACCGTAAACTTATTTGCTTCCTTATTTGTTAAAGACGTCTTCAACCCTTTCCACTTAACCCGGTTCTTGGTCGAGGCTCCTGGCCCGGAATTTAAGTATTCGGCGTAAAAGATGGTGTATGGTGCGGCATATCCTGTCCACGGTAACCACCCTTTCGGGTTGATAAATTTGTCCATGTACGACTTCATGATCACCGTTGTGGAGAAGTCCTTCCAAGGCCGGCCTAGGAACGTTTGGATATCGGTTAGGTTATCCAAAGGCTTGATAGTACAATTGTGGATAGAGATTCCTGTGTTTTGGTTCGGATCTTTCCGGCCCTGAGCGGTTATTGTATTCTGCTGGCCTTCCATAGGACGACGAGGCAAGATCTCACAATTTTGGAATACAACCGCAGCGTTTCCAAATATAAAATCAACGGTTCCGAGGATAACACAATCACGGTAAAACTGACGTTGGGCATGAGCGTACATCGTGTCTTGGAAAGCATCCATAGTGCACTTGTAGAACACAGACAAGTCTGCGCTTACCATTAGAGCTACGGCTTGATGCTTGGTTGGACCAGCTGTATTAATGAAGCCCATGTCCCTAGCCATGAACCCCTTTCCAAACACAGCTAAAATATTACAAGAAAAAAAAAATCAACTTTCTATCTTTTGAAAAATATACTAGTATTTTAGGATGTTACGCAAACACAAAAACTTTTCGTTAGAACAAAAAAATCACTTGTACATATGTACTTACCAAATGTGGCGGTTTCGAACGTGGGTGTTCCATCGATGAAGTTGAGTCCAGCAGAGACGATAGTCTTACTCTGTCCATCTCCAACCATCACAACATTCCATTTCTTCTTCTCAACCCTAACATTCTCCAAATAAACTCCTTTCTTCACATAAATAATCGTAGGTTTCTCATTCTTCTCCTCCACTTCCGCTAAAGCCTCACCTATCGTCCTATACTTCCCTGACCCGTCTTTGGCCACCACGATGGTCGCTTTCTTCCTTAAATCACCACTCTCCAAAAGTCTCCGACCTTCCATCATCGGCAAGTCAGCTACAACGACTTTGGCGTCACCGGTAGCCATCAACCGACGTCGTCTAAACTTAACGGTGTCAGCTATTTTCCCTAGCCACGTTATGATCGCTAACGCATTGCTAGTCATCTCCGTCGAGTTTTTCAAATGGTTTTCACCGAAAGTTGTCAAACCTGGTTTGTTCGCTTCCACTAATGCGTCCATACATGTTTCTTGGTACGTTTCCACGGAGCTAAGCCACGTCCTGAGATCGTCGACGCTCTTCAAGGGCGACGTCGTTTTGTCTTTCATTGACGTCATCGTCTCGTTGAGTTGGTCAACGGCTAGTCCAATAAGCTCCACGCAAGCCCCCATTGCTGCTGACGTGGCGTTATCCATGTGTTCGCCGTTGGAGAATCCGTCGAGAACTTTCGAGAGCTCCGTGATGGTGATTTTGACTGCGTACTTGAAAAGCTCCTCCGGGTTTAGTTGGCTCGCGTTTGGAGCCGTTCCAATGGTCTCAAAACATTTGTCTTTGTGCAATGTCACGTCGCACACGGCTTTCACCGAGACGGAGATTGGCTCTCCGTTACTCTCCGTTGGCGATTTCTTGCCGTTATCGTAAGCTGTGGTTCCAACGATGGCTCCGACGACAATGCAGACGAGAACGATGGAAGATATAGCGATAATGGCGATTCTCTTCTTTGTCTTCCGACTTGCCTCAAGTTTCGATTGCTCATGCTCGTCAAGTCTGCCATAGGAGGACATTTTGGTAATTTCCTCCTACCTGGCCTCTCGTATGTGATATTGTGTAATTAAATGTTTTTGAGTTATTTGTTTACTCTTGTAGAGACAGAGAGTATATATAATAGTCGTCCATTTATATTTTTTATTCGAGATAATAATGAAGTTTGATTTTACGCGGCACATTTATATTTTGCGTGGGAGGCACTAAGATGGATCGTTTGATTGTTAAGCTGGGAACATTGCGAGTGCTTCTCATGTTTTTTTTTGTGCATCTGTTAGAATCTTTCTCGTTTTATTTCTTTACTTTTAAACCATTTTTATTTTATTTTCTTTTGGTAAACTTTTAAAATCGATTTTCATGTTTATATGTATATTAATTATAATTGAAAACAATAAGATTCAATTTAATATTAGTAGTCGTTACTCTTTTTATTTTTATTTTCTCACTGAGCCATTCATTTGTGCCTTTATCTCGACATTCGTTTGTAGAATGCTGCTAGTTTCAGTGAAGCTCTAAAATTATTGATAATGTAGAAGTGTTGAAATATAGAAATTGTCTTCCTTTTTTAAAAAAAAAAATCTTACAATTTGGCGTGTAAGATTCCCATTAGATTATTTTATTTTTTACACATATACTCGTCAAACAAAATGATAAATTTATAAGTTATTTTCACGTTTAGTAAGAAATTGAGTTTCTCTCTCACCGTTTGGCAAAGTGGGAATTGGTTCTCACCATTTAGCAATTTAGGTTTTTTCTGACCAAAATACCCCCAAACCATAAACAGTTCTCGTTCAGTTATGTTTGGACTTCTCCTATTTTTTTTTTTTATCTTATTATGTATAAAAAAATGAAAAAAACAGAAGAAGAAGCAGAAAAACAAATCGAAAATCAATTTTTTCAACTTCAAAAATCTTTGTGATAATAGTTTTCTTAAAATCTGAACAATCTCGCATTCATCTTCGATTGAGAGTTTTTGAGTCGAGTAAGTAGAAACAAATTTCATATTTCCGGCGATGAACAAAATACAAGAAATTTCTTGAGATTCAAACACTTTAGTTTTTCAAATTTAAAATATGCTAACGTTTACTAGATTCATATGTAGAAAGCATTCAAAACTTAAGGAAAACAAAATTATGAGATAACTGCTAAAGACGGCCGCAAAATTAGGGTTGCAGAAGAGAATACTCAGGTTGAAGACGACAGGAAAATTACAGTTTTACCCTTCATCTAATTTCTTATGTGTACGTATATATAATTTACGGTGTACGTACACGAACATATTTAGTGGAACGTATATGATACAATATTAAAGTGGTTGTAATAATTATATATCTAACCACCCTCTTTTGACTCCAAAATTAAGCTATTTTCTTACTTTCGTCTATCTCAATAAAATTCATGCATATATAATAATTAAGTAAAAATATATGGTCAAAGAATATTTGTTCCTCATATTTATGAAAATATTATGTACGTACATCTTTGTTGGTGAGTTAAATTTGTTAAGATAAATGTATTGATACAATAATAAACTATTATTGGCGACATGTACCATGCCAATTTGCATTTGTGTATATCAAACATTCATTGTCAGATACTTCCTTGTGTACATAATTAGTAATGTACGTACATTCTTCTAAAAATCATGTTTTACCTCATGATTATGACTACAAATGGTTGAATATCACCATCTCTCCAAAATGATCGATGCTTTTTCAATTACGTACATGTTAATTAGTATACATACACATTTCTAATAATCAATTGAATTTTCATGTTAGCCCCACAGTAAGTTGAGTGTCACCAGCATTCCCGACATGTCCTATCCCATATTTTTCAACAACAAGATGAGTCAACTTATTGTGATGTAATCTTTGCCATTACCTTGTAGCAAAAGCAAACTTTGATTGCAAGATAAGCCATTGTTTGTTGTATGACTTGCATGTTCATAAAAACACTCCCCACATACAAAGTAACACTTGTCGTACTCAGTTCAACTTGTGTCTCATCGGCTCAAAAACTGGGTAAATCATCGAATACCGGAGCAGCATGATTATCGAGAATCTTCGCCTCACAACCATGTAATGAAGAAAACCCATTATACACTATGTAAGCCTCAGATGCGGTTACTAGCCGATTATCATGTACTACCCCACTTGCTGAACCTCCAATACCACACTCTAGAACATCATCCCCAGTCACTTTGTCTCTACCATTAACTTCGTCTCTACCATTAATATTGGTATCCGTGTACGTAACAAAATCACCTTCGCATCATTTATCTTGTACACATTCTCTAGTGTACGTACATTGGTACAAAGTGCAAACTATGTCGACACTTACGGGTTGGAGTCACGGTTGGTGCAATGTCACCCAAATAAGAAATGTTTTCTCCGCCAGGTACACGCTGACTTGTAATAAATCTCTAACCACCCTCTACAAAAAAATTAAAAATTATATGATTTGACTTCAAAATCAAGTCATTTTGTTACTTATTTGTATATCTCAATAAAATAAATACATGCATATATAATAACTAAAAAAATATATGGTCAAAGAGTATTAGTTCTTCATATTTTTCAAAAAAAAAATTATGTACGTACACGTGTAATAGTGAACAAACATCTTTGTCGATGAGTTAAATTTATTAAGATAAATTTATTAATAAAATAATAAACTAATATTGGCGATGGCGGTAATATATTCTAAGACGCTCCTACTAGAGATAAATCCATTGTTATTTGAATTTTTTTTTCTAAATACACTCCAACAAACAATGTCTCTCTTGTCATACTAATTTATACTTTTGTCTCATCAACTAGAGCATTTACTAAATCATCGAAGACTAGAGCAAAATCCACACAATTACCATTCACTTACATCTACCATGCCAATTTGCATTTGTGGACGTCAAGCATTTACCG